CAAGTTATACATTTAGAAGATATCTGTGAAATTAATTAAGGCAGGTGCTTTGATGAGGGTACTTGTATACCCCACAAAAACAACATTTTAATTAATTTTTAATTCATGTCTCTTGAGCTTGTTTATTCAAGCATTGTCTCTCATATATATATAGTTTTTGATTCTGTAAAATTATCAGATGTTACAAACTTTTACGAATTAAGAATGTTATAAAGGCATATTGCACGTGATATCATATAAAATGATTAAGGATTACTTGTATGTAACAAAATCACATCATTGTGATTTTATATCAGAATTGATATACACATGTAGAGTATCTCATGTGTTCATACAGCTTCAACTGAATATCTACACTGACCAGTCAGTACTGACCAGCAATAGACATATATAGAGTATCTTATATGTTTAAAATATTGGGCATTGCTGTAGACTAGTTGTATTGTTTAATCTGTTCGAACTGAAGGAAATTTAATTCCAGTGCACGACATTGGTGTATCATTCATTCTCAGTCTGTTTCTGTTTTCTTGTTTAGAAACAAAATTATCAAAACATTCATTGTAAAATATATTTTTGAGTGCTTTTAATAGCAAACATTATTGAGCAAAAGAAAGAATTTTTTTTAAAAGAAAGAATAAACGAAGGAATAAAACAGTACAACGTGCCCAATATACACAATTTACCTAGTTAATGAATTCATTCATTATATGTGCTTATTTAGCAATATATAACGATTAAGTATCAAAATCTTGAAAAAAATGTAGCTTTAGTAAAAGTATTCAACTTCAGTATAACGTATTACTGGTTCATACTCCACAGTATAAAGTCAGTGTTACAATAGCCCTGACAACCAATGGCTGACACGATCATAATGCAACACACATGTGTTTGTCCCGAATGTTGCGGGAGAAACTACTTTTTTATTTGACGTGGAATACGTGGAGACTTATTCATGAGCTATTTCACATCAGCTCTTCCCCTCCCCCATCCTCACTATAAAAAATGAAATTGGTTTTGTATCTATTACATACCTTTTCATTTATGCCTTTTAAATCTTTGTAGCATGTGAATGAAATGGGATTTATGCAAGTCTAACTGACTGACAATTAAAAGTCGCCTACGCTAACTTAGAGTTTTTGCGACTAGTTATGCTCATTGACTGAGCTTGTTTAATTGGTCGGTGTTTTTGGAATGATGCCACAAAATACCGCATTTATGTACGATATCCTAACTTTTCAATTGCCTGTCAGGAGGTGGAAAGGAGAAAGGAGATCCGACAAAGGACGCCAACCTCTGACGGTTGATATTGTCCACGCTCCAAAACGCCCAGACCCACCGTACGGGGATTGTATGTCAAATTCTCTCCAGTTCTAGTTGACGTTCCTTATTTTCAGTATTGTGTAGCCACCCGTGCAATTGACCTCATTTCTGAGTTGACGATTGCCTAATCTTAGTTTTATGTCGTTGTATTTGTGTGTACTAAGCGTATTTCTATGGTCAAAATTATACCAATCAGCTGTATGTCTGAAACCAATTGATTTTGGGGTCACGCTTGTTTAATTGGTCAGTGTTTTTGGAATGATGCCACAAAATACCGCATTTATGTACGATATCCTAACTTTTCAATTGCCTGTCAGGAGGTGGAAGGGAGAAAGGAGATCCGACAAAGAACGCCAACCTCTGACGGTTGATATTGTTCACGCTCCAAAACGCCCAGACCCACCGTACGGGGATTGTATGTCAAATTCTCTCCAGTTCTAGTGGACGTTCCTTATTTCCAGTATTGTGTAGCCACCCGTGCAATTGACCTCATTTCTGAGTTGAGGATTGCCTAATCTTAGTTTTATGTCGTTGTATTTGTGTGTACTAAGCGTATTTCTATGGTCAAAATTATACCAATCAGCTGTATGTCTGAAACCAATTGATTTTGGGGTCACGCATTATTAGTCTTAGTTGTTATTTTTAATGGTGGAGAGTCCAAAGGATCAAGGTAGTCATAAGTAGTGGTGTAATCGAATGAGGCCTTGCTGTTGCTAGGATTCGACCCAGGTGTTGCTAGTTTGTTTTTCTTAGCACCTGTTTTGAGCCCTTTTGTAAGTTGGGGTGTTAGAAGAAGGTGGGTGAAAAGGAAAGTTGGGTTGAGGGCTTATTGTGGAAAGTCTTTTGCAACATGGGCATGCAACAGGCTTTCAGGATTCCACCCTGGCGTATGCTAGTGTGCTTTCTCTAACACCTATTTTGGGCCCTTTTGTTAGTGGAAAGGGAAGGTTGAAGAGAGGGTTGTGAAAGAGGGACATGAGAATAGGATGGGAGAGTGAGTAGGATTGTGGGCCTTGTGGCTTGGAGTTTACAACAAAAATACCTTCTTAAGAGGTGCATTTTTCACTCGTTGCCTTGCTTTGTTTGCTTGTCCTGTGGGCCAGTGCTTGCCCAGATGTGTGCCTGTGCTTGCACGGAGAGGTGGGCTAGTGCTTTCTCAGTTATTTTGCCAGAGCTCGCACAGGTAGGTAGGAATGAGCCAGAGCTTGCTCTTGTGTGGGCGAGTGCTTTGCCTAGGAAAGAAACAAGATTTGGGTTTATTATTTTTATTTGGAGGGCTAGTGATTGCCCTGAGGAGGTATTGTTCATTCTTTTCCAAATTTTCCGGATTAGGATGGTTAATGCTTGCCCTATGGGGTTGTGGTCCTGCCTTGTCCTGCTTCCAGAAGTCCTGGTTTTCGTTCGGCAATTGGAGGCTGAATTTCCAGTCACTTTCCTGGTCTCCCTTGTCTGCACTCCCAAATTGTTCCTTACTTGTCTTGTGTATTCCTAGTCCATATTTGATTATTTCAGTCACTTGTCAATTTAGAACTAATATTGTGCCCTTTTTGTTCATTAGTGGTGGCATGATTAGATATTGGGTGGGGTAGACGGAAGAGTAAAAGAGTATGTACACTTAAACAAACAAACACACACACACACACACACACACACACACAAGCATTACCTACGTTAGGAGGACCTTGTAAATCCACATACATTAGGAGGTCCACCTCATGGAATTCATTTATACACTTCCTTTACAGTGGATTTTATTTGATTTTACATAATAACATATTCTCGGGGTCTAAAGGTTTTGAAAGACAATATTTTTTTTGGACTGATATGGTGTGTTTTCCACATACATTGGGGGATTACACACATGTGGTAAATTGCATACACTACGGGGACACAGGATTACACACCTGTAGTACACTGCACTTGAGAGGATATTGCAGGCTTTTCTCCTCCTTGTCCAAGGAAACATTTCAGGGTTCCGTGTGCTTCGTAAGTTTACAATACTTTATTGATCTGTGTTTCCTGTTATATTTGGTGCAGCGTAAATAAAACCAGAGGCAATAAATATAAAATTGTTTATGCCTTTCTGCTGTATTTGTTTAACTTTATTATACACCCAGTCCTTAAATATGACTTCTTTTATTAATTTTAGGAGACAATCATTTTAAAGATTGTATGGGTACAAATAAGACAGCAAAATTATGCAATTTCACAAAAATGTATTGTTTTAGCAGTAGCGTATTTTCAAAATTGTCGAAATCTGTCAATCTATTTTACATTGCTGAGAGAGGTGAGGCAGCCAAAATCGTGGCCAATACAATAAATTCGGTAACTACAGAAGCTTTACGTCGAGAAAACTAAGACTGGAAAGTCATGGACACAGAATACAAAAATACCAACTTAATTTCAATGGAAAATGAAAACTGGTTCTAGCCATCCATTTCTCATAAGCTTATTTAATTGCACCAGTCACATAGCTTATGACATTGAAAAGCTTCATTCTATACAAGCTGGAATAAGCCTTTACAATTCATTTCTTCTTTCGGTCATACGAGACAAAATCATTATCTATGAAAATGCGACTCCAGTAATAAAAAGGTCATTAAACAATCGTTACAATCACGTTCCCAGGCGCTGTTATTGGGTAGATGCAAATAAAAAATTTTTCTTTCTCTTCTCAACATAGGACAAACAACTGCATCACGATTAATCAACACTCAATTGAGCAACAAATAATTAGATCGCATCAATATTGATGTGGACTTGAATAAAATAAACATTTTTCTTTATTGGGAGTATTACCAAAAATAATGCAATATAATTTATAAGGTAATTTAGCTTTAAATACCATTCATTTGATGATATAAATCTCCCGTATGAATTAGCACTCGTGTTTTAATGCCAATCAGAACATTAATTCTTGCTGAATAATAACGCATCTGAGTTTTAGACAATCTGCCTGTCTGTATTGTGGTATATTCTGACAGCATAGCATTTTTATAGAAGGATAGAAAGGTTGTGCATCATATGATATCTACAAGGCAAAATTGAAATTCGTATCGCAATATATATATATATATATATATATATATATATATATATATATATATATATATATATTCCATTTCTTATGTGTATAAAGCATGCTTGATAATGATTTACAATAGAACCTTATTAATTGACACAGGATCTATAACTTTCTCATTTTTTGAAGAGTGTATGGATTTTAAGTAGCTGTCACAAGTATTCTTTTCGCAAGTCTTTGTTGATTTTCTGTTGTGAGTTAGATTGAACTGGAACACACTCAGATACAGTTTTATTGATCTGTCTTCTTAGGGATTCACCAGCAAGGGTTCGTTTTTTACGTGTGAACATGTGCATTTATTATGCAAGAAAAGATCGTATTGTTTTAATTATACAATTATTTATGTGAGCTTTTATTTGACCTTCTGTGTCCCCCACAAGATCATCTTAATTCAAAATTTGCAGGTGCGCTCACGCTGTACTGGCATCGCTACCCTGGATACCAGTGATTAAACTGTTCCAATGTATTCGTGGTGCAATCATATCCATACACGAGATTCAGAGAGATGTTACTGATTTAAATTTACGAGTTGGCTTGTGGTATATACATTATCTTACACGGGATGGTATTAATTTAAATGTACACGTTGTTACCGTTCTGGTGGGCTAGTGGTTATAGCGTCCGCCTAGGATGCGGGAGGTTGTGGGTTCGAACACTCACCGGGTCATACCAATGAATTTAAAAAATGGTAATAACAGATGTCTCGTTTGGTGCTCAGCATTACGAGGTTAGTATGAGGTCTGGACGGCCTGGTGTCAGGATAATGTGACTGGGTGGTACATCATGCCCCATGTCTATGGCATGAAACCCCAGTGCTATACATCACTATAAACTGCAACACTACAGGCATCGTAGAGGTATGACTGAATTTATTTTAGAGCTACGGTAAAAGTCGAATTCACACACACATTTACACACAGTACGATCTTTAATATATGTGTCAATTTTTTCATGATTAATGATTAAAAAGGTCATTTAGTAGATACCATATTAAATGCTAATTTTCTTTATAGTTGTGCGTTTATGCTTTAAAATGACGTCATTTTAGTAGACGCATTGCGTAGGTTTAGGACAGTAGTAAACCTGTTGATTTGATGCGTTCAGGCCCTCAGGATTATTAAAAAGAAAAACAAGACAGACATAATTCTTGATTGGCTATCGGATAATGTACTTGACCTTATTGACAAAAGCAATTTGGAAATGATTATTGACCCTCATTCTGCACCATAAATTGCCTCATTGTTTTTCTATATTAGGCATGATTGAATGCAAATTAGTTATTTCTAGCAGAAACATCAGTCTTAGATGAGACAAATAGTTGTGTTCAATGGATACTTACGAACTCTCAAACAATATGGGTAAATTAATTATTTTTGACCAATCAAAACCCGGCTTTAATTCACTACGATGTAGCGAGTTGATATGCAGCACATTGGGTTATATACAAAATACAACACTTAATCACTGTCTTCTTACATTGCTGAGAAAATTGAAAGATTACTCTTATAAATTAATGCGGCACATGCGATTTATGTTACTAATTTTCCCAAATGAAACATTAAAATAGAAAAATGTATGCATTGGAATCGGTACGTTATGTATTATTACATTTCGTATATAAATACAAAACCCATTTTAATTAATGATATTATTTATTGTGCTTTAAATAAATTTTATGTTAATTGTATGTTTATGTTCGAATTGTATATCATACATGAGACATAATATTACTTATATTAAAGAAAGTGTGTTCATGAGTTTTGTATAGTTTTGTCCTTTTATTAAAATGGCTTATTTGTTTTTCTTTTAAATTAAATATCGAATATTGGTATTCTCTTTTATCATCGCTGATTTTGTTTAAATTTTTTAAATTTACGATTTATTTATAACTGGTGTCAAGTTGACAAAACACCACCCTATACATTAAATTCTAGAATTTAAATCATTAATATCTATAATTGCAAAATTGAATTTTGTAATCAATTATTTCACAATTTTAGATTGAATTATTCTGTATACAATTTGTATTATGGAAGGCTTTTTATGAAAACAATATTTTAACTTTATAAACAAGTGAAACTGTAATCAAATATTTCTATTGTCATTTTTAGGCTTGAAATTATAAATAAGATCAATATATGTCATGTCATTTAATTCAGTTTATGTCATTTTCACTTCAAACAAAACAGATCTTTTACAAATGACTGCTTTTATAACACTTGCAAAAATGTTTCAACATCCACGAAGTAAGATAATAACTAATTAGCAAACAATTGTAACAGCGGATACATACATACATACATGCATGCATGCATGCATGCATGCATGCATACATACATACATACATACATACATACATACATACATACATACATACATACATACATACATACATACATACATACATACATACATACATACATACATACATACATACATACATACATACATACATACATACATACATACATACATACATATATATATATATATATATATATATATATATATATATATATATATATATATATATATATATATATATATATATATATATATATATATACACCCTTTCAAAGTGCCAGTAATTAGGTTTAGTTTGAACTACTAATATTATTTCTTTCTTTTTAAATAAATTATACTAAATGAGTGTTTTGCATGGATCTGGTATACTTTTAATTTAATGGTTTATCAATGATACCCTTTTGAAATGTTTTATCCGTCCAACAGAGGATACATGTCAACGCGGCGTAAAAGAAAGTGAAACATCCCTTCAACCATTCAGAGAACGTTGTATAAAATATCAATTTATTTAATGTAACTAATGTTTTTAAAACAGATTTAACTTATTAAATGTAGATAAAATAGTACTAGTTTGATTCTTAGATGTCATTTTTAGGTAAGGTATGAATTTAACGGGTGCAAATACCTAATGAAAGATTCGACAGCTTTTTATAATACTGAAGCCATAATTATAAGTTACTGCATTTGTATGGGAAAATATGAACGAGTTTTTCGGATGGATATACTGCACGACCTTGGGAGTGCAGCATATCCTTCCGACAAAACGAGTTCATATTTTCCCATACAAATACAGTAACCTTTTTAATATATGCTCGTTTCTTATTCTTCCCAAGGCTTAAATATATAAACAAAAATACATTGAAAGAAACAAAGTAACTAAATGTACGCCGTATTCTGAACTAAATACATAAGCGTTGATGGATCATTACACAACATTATTAATGAGCACATAATTCCGCCTAGATAAATATAAAGTTGGTCGCGCGCTAGACGTAAGTTTCGAAAGAAAATGGCGCTTGCTCTACTTAAAATTGAAATTTGGAGTAATATTGTTGATGAATACGCATTGCAACAACTTTTCCATTTGATCTGGAATGAATACCTTTTGGTATATTTGTCGATTCAACGCAATCTTTTGATTAATGTCTGGATTTATCTACATGAAGTGACTTGCATCGGTTTCCAGCATCGCCTGCCATTTTAATGTTTTGAATTGTGTTGACATCGGCATGCGTCTTTCTTTTCTGTCATTGAATGATTCAAATCACAATGTGGAAAAATTATGAAGCCTTTCCATTGCAATTATCGAAAACACGCTGTGGAATTTAATGTTTATTTCATTTTGAGTGCAGTAAGGAGAATGTGGCTACACTTGGAATATACTCGAAATTACAGTACAATTTCAAAATGTGTAATCAATCTTGAGAACCCATGACATGGCTCATCTAATGCAGATTTACAGACGAACGAAAACATTTTTTGAGGAAATTCAGGATTAAAAATTGTAAGTATATTTTTGGCCATTTTTATTAACAGCTAAAGAAGACAGTTTATGTGTATAACTTGCATTTTATTGTAAGGGAACCTGTATAGCGTCAATATATAGTTAAATTTGAAACATTGTATCAAAAAAGTAAACCCGGAATGTGCCAAAGCAGTTTGTATGTGTCAGTCTATGAAATATTTGCTGGCATATGGCCGTCTATGAAATATCTGCTTTAGTTCATTCATAAAAAAATTGTTTACGTTAGAAAATATTTCCTTTGCACGTGGGATATAATATGAAGGTGTTCAATATCGGTGAATATTGCACGATTCTGACAATGTAAAGTTAACGGAGAAAAAAGATGAGCATATAATAAATAGTAATATGTGCCGATTGTCGGCATATGTGTCACTTGCAGCAGTAATTATAGAAAGCAATTGGTGGTTAATATGGTTGACAGGGTAATGTGTTTGTGGGCTAACGTGTTGATGAGGCAAAAAAAGCGTTTATGTGGCAGAATGGTATGTGGGATTAAGATGCGGGGGCAGGGGGCCTCGCTCTGGAGAGTCAAAATGGCACTTAGAGTGGGTGGGTCATACGAGAAATCCATGTTAAAATTGGCCATAAGTTATACAAGGAGTTAATACAAGGGATCACAATATTTTATAGCCTGAAAACGATAAGAGTGTTACAACTTGGGGATCAAAAGTGTTCATACCCTGAAAACGATAAGTGTTACAACTTGGGGATCAAAAGTGTTCATACCCTGAAAACGATAACAGTGTTACAACTTGGGGATCAAAAATGTTCATACCCTGAAAACGATAAGTCTTATAACTTTTGGATCAAAAGTGTTCATACCCTGAAAACGATAACAGTGTTACAACTTTTGGATCAAAAGTGTTCATACCCTGAAAAAGATTACAGTGTGACAAGAGGCTGACCTCAATTGCCGTGATTTAGTAACAATATTCAAACTGACTTAATACATGCTACAATTGCTAAGTATGGGCGCAGGATTCTGAGGTTTTATCAAATAAAGTACGAGAAAATTATCTGACAACACGAAATCACTTTATCGGTACTATAAATTAACCTTGAGAAAGGCCGAAACAATAACATTCAAATAACGGATACTAGAAGTAGCACTATAATTCCAAAATAGTATTGGACATTAATAGGGACCGAAAATTATCCAAAATTTTCATTTAAAAAAAAACAAACTTGGTAAAGACTAAAAATAGAACTACAATTCCGAAACTATGCCGGACTTTAATGTCGACTGATTGATATGTAATATTTAATATAGGCACAACTAAAAGTAGTAGTAAAAGTACTACAAATATGTCCCCGACTCTACTGGAGACATATAAATCAGGAACATTAATATGGAAATAGTTTAGACTAAAAGTAGAATCATTACTCCGAATTTTACCGGACTTTAGTTGAAACTGAAAATTATCATGAATGTTTATGACAAAATTTGGCTATGACAATCCGAAACTCATACTGACTTTAGCGGAAACTGACAAATAACCGGGATGAACTTAAATATGGTAGATTATTACTACAATTTCAAGTTTATATAAAATTTAGTATTGATTAAAGATGAATTTTCCATTAAATATAAAAGGCTTAAAATATATTTGACAAAGTGTCAAACAATGTAAAAGTGCAAAATTTTCATATTTGGCTTTCTTACATATAAAATGCCTTGGGTATTCTTTTAATCTAACACCTACAATCAGCAGAAATGCGTAGTGTCTAAACAAAGGGACTAAATCTCACCAATATAATATCCATAACATCACCTATTCAACCAATAACCCATGCACGCTATCTACTATCAAACACCCTATAAGTAAAATACCAAAACAC